TTGAGTCCGTTGGGCTTTTTCTTTTTGGATTTTCTAAGACATTATATTTAAAATTCCTTTCTACTCAACCGAGGAACATTCTTTTAATATTATTTCAAATATACATTTAATAAATGCTACATACTTGTAGCGTTGCCAGAAGATGCACGAAATGTATGACAGTTGAGGGGCGGCAATTTGAACATTGAGCCATCATTTTTGAATTTTTTTTTTGTTGTAGGTACTTACTATCGTTTAATTTACGTTTAATATTCTAACTTGAGTTGAAGTGGAATAAAAATTTGAAAACTCTGTCTTTTCTTATCTTTAATATATATTTTAAATAAAATTACAGCGAAATATAAAATTTATTCCGTTTTTTTACACCGGCTGCCAGCCGTATCACACATGACTTGAGCTCGGGGTTTTCGTCGGCTAGTCATAGGCGTATTTGTCGAAAACAAACAAATAAACAGGTAGTATAAATAAAAATAAATAAATTTGCGTACTTTGTCAGCGATAAGTCGTTTTTATCCCTCGGCGCGTTCGACATTATTAGAATATTAAAACACGTATACGCGAAGCAAACGCCAAGCCAATAACTACCGTTATTACCGGTTTCGTACGGTACACTGTAGCGAAAGGTCGACGCGACGGCTATGATCATCCGATCGAGTCCCGAGCTCTATACATGACTGACAATTGTTAATTTTTTTTTATTTCACTTCTAATACCGCCTTCAGCAAATAAACATAATTTTGTAGAATGTTAGAATTATTTTTAAACATGCGCTTTTTGATAATTGAATGATGTTACAGAACAGAGAACCACACCCCAAATCACAGAAAAGAGTTATTAATAAAAAATTTTTGCCCAGGTTAATTAGTGACTGAAAAATGCACAAATGTCAATTTAGCGTAATTAATCAAAATTAATCGTTTACAATGAACAATAACAAAATAACAAAATGAATGGCCAATGAAAGAGAATGATGTGTTTTAGTGTAATTTTGACTTTATTGTTTTAGTAACTTTTAATTTTGCCAAAACAAATTGTTAACGCGAAAAAATAAAATTACTGGTTCAAACAGAGCTACTGGTCACGTGGCTTAATAATCATTTATAAAAACTTTGTACATACTGTATCATTCTGTTATTCGTATTTTTGATTATCCGGAACGCCGTCGGTCCCACCTAGTCCGGATAGCAGAGCTTATACTGTACTTCTAAAAAATGAAATTATCGATACAACCCGCAGTTTCCTACAGCCTTGTACTCATTTTTTCCGTCTGAATTCCCATTCTTGTATAATGCTTGTAAATAAGAGACGTGTTTCATTACCGACATGCGTCAAAAACCAATAAAGCTACCGCCAGTGGGTACGGGCTTTATTTCAAATAAAAAGGTGCTTTATTTTCCCGGCGCTTTGTGAATTCTATAATGTTCGAATAGCGCCGAATCCTTTTTATCCATGCCTATAAATCTTTAATGAAGTAATGGCGAGTTTTTTGGTTAAAAACACTTTCTTTCTAAAAAAAATCTGAAACGACCCCCCTCTAATTAATTTCCAAAATCTGTTTCTACATGTACGTATTTTTTTAACCAAACTATGTATTGTTCTTCGTACCGGATTTACTGAGGTCATACTTTAGTATAAAAGTTGATATTAAAAGAAATTCAGGGCGTTCACAATGTTTATTTTTATATTTTGCCCCAAGGTAATTTTAAGATATTTGTCCGAAACATAAATCACTCCATTTTTTAAATATCTACGTAAAAAAGTCAGGAGGGTTTAAATCAGGAGATCGAGGTGCCTATGTTACCGGTTCAATCAACTGTGCTTTTTCAACTCAATAAAGGAAATATGTAATTTCAACTTTCAATTAAAAAAGAATAATTGACACTGAAATCCGATAATAACTACGTTATAATTATCTTACAAATTTTAGTATACAGAGTATTAATGAACTTATGTCAAATATCTTTGCCACATGTCCGTTATGTCAAAATGAGATAAAATACACGGATTTGTGTTGAGTAAAATGTAATTTTAAAATCTGACTTACCCCTGTATTGCAAGGAGCCACCTTTTGAGAACTGCTGATTTTCATAGATGTTCGATGTACGCACCATTTGCTTGCACACAAACTTCAGCGCGACGTATTCAATTCGCTCGCACGCGTTGCAACATTGCCACGTCCTCTCAAATCATATTACGTGTCGCAGATGGTCGATGTCACGAACTTCCGTGGAATACACAACACTAAAGTTTACAAAGTCGCGCACTCTCCGAAAAAAGTGAGCGGGGGTTTCGTCATGCAGGAACCACATATTTTGCCGAACATTTAAAGGCACGTCTTTTAATAACTCCGGCAAGCGATTTTGCAAGAAATCCAGATATGAAACACCGTCTATGCGTCTAGACAATTCAAAAGATCCTATTAAAATGTCATTACGATACGGCCCACATGTTCACTGAAAACTGTCGCTGAAAGGCACCGCGACGTATTTCGTGTGGATTTTCGATAGTCCAGTGGTGAGTGTTATGGACGTTACGTACATAGTCCGAGAGCCCGTTGTCATTTTGCTGTCTAACTATATTATGGCTGAAATTTATTATCTCGAATATATAGCCCGAGTAAGAAACTATCCTGCAGTTCTGAGATTCGGAGATGGAACATTACGTTACTACAATATTGTAAACATGCGAGTTTACATATTGCTTCTGCCTAACTGTATTATGTTTGAAAACCGTTTTATTATAAAGTTAGATATTTATTTATTTATTTAAAATACACATCCAACAGGCGATGCCCAATAACAGGATATGTTAAGTCTAGTAATAAAATATAAAAAAAGTTAAAAGAGAAAAATTTACTATGAAAAAATAAAGAAAAAAAATAAAAATAGTTTAAACTTAAAAATAATACAAATATAAAAACAAAATAAAATTAATACAATCTCACTGTACTTGCAAACAATTTGATACAATGGTGATGTTACTACGTGATGCGGGAAGTCTAAAAACATTATTACTTCAAGCTGATAGTCGTGGTACTTTGATATTAATATTACTTAAAACACCTGGACAGTCCAAAATGTTATGTAGAACTTTATACAAAAACATTACTTGAAAAACAGATCTCTTTTAGCAAGGACCTGAATATTGAAACGCTGAAGTAATAGATCATGCGGAAAACCCTGAGGGGGATATGTACCATCCAATAAGTACACAGCTGATTTCATAAACCTGCGTTGTACTCTTTCCAAAGTTGCAATTTGATTAGCATAAATTGTGTTCCAGACTATTGATGCATATTCTAATTTTGAACGAATAAAGGTAGTGTAGAGCAATCGTAGTGTAGAAATGACTGATAAAGCCTTTGAAATTCTTTATTATGAACCCCATATTCTAGAAAGCAGATGACGCAATTATTTCTATATGTTTTGTAAAAGATAATGTAGGGTCAAATTATATTAACCAATTTATAATCGAATAGTACACCAGATATTTGATGAAACTTGTGCAATTTAAAACCACGATGCTGAACAAACTGATACCTGCTTTGTAAATAGTTGCAAATGTGATTCGGACACACCAAACCAATCTAGTTTGTACAGCAAGAGGTCGTAGTCGAGTCTGTCAAAAGCTTTAGTGAAGTGGGTATAGATCATGATATAACTATAAATAGGTATGATATTGCGCATGTCGCGGCCATGTTTGATGACGTATCATGGTGACAGGCTCCATCTCTTTTTACCGTACGTTTCGCTTTTCGTGCCATTTATATGAACAGAAGCTGTCAGAATCTGTGATCTGTCAGAATCCGTTTAACCACAATATATTTACTAGCGTTTAACTGCATTGTTTCTTTGTTAAATAGTTGTTTTATTTAGTGATATGTAACAGTGATAGTTATTAAAATGTGTTGTGCAGTGTTTGGGTATAATTCAAATAATAATTGCAAACATTTTGACTCCAACATCAAGTTTTTCCGATTCCCCACAGATGCTCTATTATGCGAAAGTTGGAAAAATGTTAACAATTTAGCCATTTCTTTGGTGCTCTTCAGAGGCCAATCTCAAACTGTAACAGTTGCACAAAAACCTTCACCTCTGTCAAATGTTGGAATAAATTTAGTGAGGAAAGGTAACTGTCAAAGAATATTTTGTAGACAAAATTTGGAATTTCTACCGATTTCACTAATGAAAGAATATTATATTTTCCTATTGACTCCAAAATGCAATTTAAAATTCTTTCTTATTAACTTTTGCATCCAAACTTCAACAGACGCTCTAGTGTGTACGATAATAAGATGACCTGAAATGTCGCTACTCAAAACTCAAATGTCAAAATTGTCAAATTACGGGTAAAGGCGCTACCGTTTAAACGGATGCTATACATTAATGAATTGAGATGTTAAGAAGGAACCAAATAATATCGTTTACATTGTGCTAAAACAATACTAATTGTTAAAAAATATGTTATTTTACTACTGCTATGAATAAAAGTCCATTTATTTTCATACATTTTAATTAATTAATAAAAAAAAAACAAAATAGCGAAAAATGTATCACTCCAGGAAATTATAACAGATATAAAACATATGTATAATGCATTTCGTCTTGCTTTGTCATAAATTAAAACAATGTTTATTAATTGAATTGTTATACACAATAATGTAAACAATAAATCACGGTGATGAAAAGCCACAGTAAATTCAAATCAAAACACATTACAGTCGTACAGCTATTTGCTTTAAATATTTTTTTCTCGAGATCTTATTATAACTTTTTTAATGATATCAATTCTATTTTTAATGGCACAATCCGTAAAGTATTTTGGATATACATAGTATACCTTGTATATACAATCTCACTTGGAAGTACGATATTAGGTAAAAATAAGAATAAAATAAATTAATTTGCTCTTGGAAATTTGTCAGCTGAATGGAATTTTGGTATTTTAATTCTCTGTGTGGAGCCACGCAAATTTTTAATTGAAGTATTTCTTTGTTTCAGTGGGTTCCGGCGCAACGAGAAGCACTGCAATGGGGAATGCAATAACCCGCTCCCCCATCGAAAAGTCACCGCCACAAAAGACAGGGGCGGTAATAAAGGTACAAATTGAAAACATTTCGGAACGTAAAGCATATTCCCGCGTCTGAATATCTGGGATTGTATGAATTATTAAAATGAGTTATTAAAACTGGGTCAGGGTTAGACCACAACATATCCTAGGCACGAAAATATATTTCATTCAGAGTCTAATTTTACTCCAATCGAATTAGAGTTTGAATGTTAAAAAATTATTAGTAGATATTTTATTGCACTTTATGACGGGGAAGGGTGCGTAGAATGATAATATCAGAAAAGTAACTAGAGAGAAGAGACACTAAGATGACAAATAAGTGATAAAATTACATGTTTCTTCACTTTTTTTTACTGCTCATGATAATCTAGATGACCTATCGAAAAATTAGTTGTTTTATGTTGTAGGTAATTAAATTACCTACAATTTAAGGTACTTAAGGTCGTATTCCACCAATTTGTTAACTGTAAAACAAAGGTTTTCAAAAATTGCGCATTATTATTGGAAAAAAGCGATGGATGTTGCTAAAATTTATGGAAAAGACGGTCAATCTAATGACCAACATTTGTGCTAACGGCCGATTCTATTAACCGTGAAATTGTTGCTACAGCTATTTGTTAATTAATTTCGTCCGTTTTTTTTATAATTAATTTTTTAATTACTAAACGTTTATTTTTAAAGTTAATATCGTAGATATAGGTTCTAATTGATCCAAAGAAACGTATAGAAAAAGAAATTGTAACTAAGTGGCCCTTACAACTAACATAGTAGAATGTGCAAAACAGTGTTATAAATAAATTGTCCCAGGGTCAGCAAAAGCCGCTCGGGAATTTGCTCTTTTTATGTTAAATAGAGCTTATTTTTACGGCTCGAGAAATCGTCAACATTATTAAATTAGTATGTGCGAACTTAAAATAGCGGTGGCAAAAGTGTTCCCGTTCAAAATCTTATTTAACAAAGAAAGAAAGTGGTTTTCTCGCATCAAAAATTCCAGTTCCTAAAAATTTATTAAACTTCTACTACGATCAGTTTGACTACTACTTCAGTAAGGGGCCGCGGTCGTCCAAGTAAGTAGTTTGAAGAATGTTCTGTCAGAACGAAGAAACGTCAAGTGGAAGCATTATTAACAAGGTTTGGTAGTGCGGAGCTACAATTTGCTTCAAATATCGCAGTTCCGACGACATTAGTAGAGTCAACAGAAGTAAGGAAAGACTTATCTTTGCAGTAAGCAGTGAGTCTTTACTTAGATCTAGACTTATCTGTACGTAAATACAATATTTTAAGGACTGTTGTAAATATTGTACATAATTATACTTTCAATATACAACAAAAATGATTAAAAATAATAACTGTTATCCTTATTATAAAAACTTTGATTGGAGTCACAGCTTTGTGCTGTGCAATTGCTCTTAGAACTGCAGCAAACTATTTTTAAAAGGGAGTCCAGGCGTACAGGCCTTTCATTAACGTTAACTTTTACTGCTGCTAGCTCGTTTGTTACATGAACTTTCAATGTAATACTTTTTGAAAATAAAAGTAGAACCCTTTCTTTAAAATCTCAATCCGACACGTAACAATGAACGTTATAAAAAAAGTTATCTTGGGAACAAAGAGGCGAAGGTACCGTAAAAATAAACTCTATATATTGCAAAAAGAGCGAATTCCCGAACGGTTTTTGCCTGACCCCGGGGCAATTTATTATAACGCTGTATTGCACATCTTGCACTTTGTTAGTTGTAAAGGGCAAATTAATTTCAACTTTTTGAAATTTTTCTTTTTCGATACGTATCTTTGGATCAGTTAGAACCTACGGTAAATATTAACTTTTTGTATTTAAACAATTAGTTGCAAAAAAACGAACGGAACTAATTGACCTGGAGCAACAATTTCATGGTCATCAACATCCATCGATTTTTGCAATAATAATGCTATTTTCGAAAACTGATTTTTCCGAGTTAGACCTTTATTTTACAGTTAATAAATTGGTGAAATATGGCGTTAGGTAACTTAAATTGTAAGTAATTTAAATTTCCCAACTTAGCGTAACTTCTTTCGAGTTACATTTTTGATATCATTCTACATACCCTTCCCCGTCATAAAGTGCAATAAAACGTCTACTAATAATTTTTTTTCAGGTTTTATGATTAATTCGACTGGAGTATTTGGGAAATATACCTAAGCAAAAGATGTATTCATTTTAATATGTCATTAAAACTTCCAGCACTTTCACGAACTAACGGATATTTAATTATTTCCGGAATGTGAATTTCGGTCGTTGCTAGGTAAAGGGGAATTACGGACAAAAGAGGAATTTGGGGGATATATATAAGTCGCTAATCCATCTATACGCGGAAGCATTGTTAAAAATCACAAAATTCCATGTTATCTTCGTGTACAATATTACCGAACAGTGTAAAATGTGGCTTTTACATTTTTTAAGACGGGTATAGTTTTACTAGGAAATAGTTGCAATGTCTTTGACACCTATTTTCAGTATTACGTATTTATTATTTCTTGTTTTATAAACATAATCCTCTAAATATCTTAGTACATATGTTCTGAATACAAACCGTTTGTTTGTAAATTGTAGGATTATGTAAAAACATGAATAATATGCTTTTAAAAGCAAAACGAGTCTTTAAAAGATATTACATAGGTCTTACAAGGAAACTACCCCAACCCGAACACTCCGATTTCCAAGATTTTTATATTTTTATATATACCGGGTAGGAAAGTACCGATGGTCTATCTGAAGTTACGTGAGAGCGATAAAGTAAGCCATAGAAATCCATGTGATAGAGAAGGATGGGTATAGTGAAGGCGTCTAATAGTTACCGCCCATTTCGCCCTTCCACAAATAAGAAGTGGATCTTATTTGTGGAAGGGCGAAACGGGCGGTTACTATGAGAGGCTTTCATTATAGCCATCCTTCTCTATCGCATGGATTTCTATGGCTTACTTTATTGCTCTCACGTAACTTCATATAGACCATCGGTACTTTCCTACCCGGTATATAAAAAATTAAGAAACGCGTATTTTTTTTATCCGTGGAAAAACATATTTAGGGGGTGAAAACCACCCTCAAAGTTCGCCCGCCGAAATAGTTTTTTCTAATCAATATTTTGGAATGAAACAAAATAGAAATTACTTCTTATAAAAAAACAAATGTTTCACAAGTGATTCCGTGTTTGGTTGTTGCTACCCTTATTTGTTAATCCAGGAAAACTATATGTTTTATACATAAAAAATCATATTTGCTCAAAAAGAATTAAAAATATGATTTATGTAAACAAAATTGACAAATTGACAAAATTAAATTGACCTGTTTCGGGGTTTTCTTTAAAATCTCTTTTTAAGGGGCGAATAACCCTCTAGTGTGCGAAAAATATCTGTACGATTAGAATTAACTTTGTAAAATAAAAAGATTTTACTTTTTCTCGAATCATACCAATAATTTTTTCTATTACCCTAAAACGGATTTAAACGTATGTAACTGCCCCTCATGTTCACCCCCAAAAACAGTATTTCCGTGATATCTCGGGTTCTAATCAATATTTTGGAATGAAATAAAAGGAAATGATTTCTATTGTAGAGAACGAATGATTCACAAGCAATCTTCTCTGTAGTCTGTATTTTTTGTGAAAATTTACTAAAATAAAAAATAAGTATACTTTTACCATCTACAAACCGGGGGATGCAATGCTTAATTTAAAACCGTTTTAGACATTTTCCGCACACTAGGGAGTTGTTCACCCCCTAAAAAGAAGAGAACTTAATTTTGTCAATTTGTTTACATAAATCATATTTTTTTTTGAGCAAATATGAATTTATTATATATAAAAAATGATTGAAAAACATACTTTTTCCGAAATAAAAAATAAGGGTTGCAACCCCCAAACACTTGTGAAACATCTGTTTTTTATAAGAAGTAATTTCTATTTCGTTTTATTTCAAAATATATATTAGAACCCGAGCTATCACGGAAATACTGTTTTTGGGGGTGAACAAGAAGGGTAGTTTGCATCCGTTTAAATCCGTTTTAGACCAATAGAAAAAATTATTAGTATGATTAAAAAAAAAGTAAAAACTTTTTATTTTACAATGTTAATTCTAATCGTACAGGCATTTGCACTAGGGGGTTTTCACCCCCTAAAAAGATATTTTAACGAAAACCCCGAAATAGGTCAATTTAATGTCAATTTGTTTACATAATTTAATTTAATTTTATTTTTTTTTGAGCAAATACGAATTTTTTATTTGTTCGAGTTGAGGTAGTTTCCTTGTTAGTATTAGTAGCAAAGTATTACAAATAAAAAAATATTAAGATAAGCGTTTTGCACTGCTCTAGGAACCGATTATTGTCTTTGGGGCAACTATTCGCATACAAATAAACCTTCATATTTACATCATATTTGCACTGCCCATACATTAATATTATATCCGCTAATTACTAATCTGCTTAAGCCTGAAATAAAACAAAGTAAATCAATTTACGGTCGACAGGAGCAAGCAAGACATATCCGCGATCTCGCTGTACAAATACCCACACTGAACATGACCTAGTTACTGCATTGTAGACAGTTGATTATGTGGGACGATGCAGAATCGTCCTAAGTTTCGCGTAATAATTCTTGATTAATTTTCTGGAATTTTTTACACTTCCTGCCGTTCTTGTGACAAAGATTAGCTCAGAAATCAAAGACTTATGTAGGCGATGGGGTGGTATATTAATGTTTAGTACCAAATCGTAACTTTTCAGAGAGGAGACATTGCCAGGAAGCGCCCGCCCAGCGTGGGCCACACCACATTCTTCAGCGAGCACTCCTCCAGCTGCTCAGGAAGGGTGTCCTTCCACAGCGAGCCGGTGACCACCCCCTACTCTTTCCTGGAGCAGCAAACTCTGGGGATTCTAGCCAGTTCCGAGCCTAACATGTCGCCCAAGGGCAATGTCAAGATCAGCATCAACGATTCCGAAGTGTACTATAACCGTGCTTACAGTGAACGGTCTCGGACTAGGAACATCTAGTGCCAAACGACCGGGTACCAGCCGCCCAAGACAAATAGGGAGTATATGTGTTGAGCCTCCTATTTTTGAAACAGGGTTAAAGTACGCAGGTACGGTGATAGGAATAAAGACGAGTTTTAAATTTGTGATTTTTGAGCGGAGGGCTAGTGTTTCTGCATTTTTAAATAATTATTGTATCTGTGATGTTATATGTACCAACATAGGTGTAAAATCTCACGAATTAATTTTTTGTATAATAAATAAAAATGTTTCAATAAACGTAACAGCAGTTTTCAATCATTGCCTTACGATGGGAGTCTGATGTTACTTCACAGTCTGCTCTTAAATCGGCCTTTCCTGCAAAAGATTATTTTGGACAAAGGAAAATATTTCAAACATTTAATAGATGAACTATTTAGGGTTTACTGAATATAATGTTAGCTTTTTTCAAGAGCAATGCTGAATACCTAACGAAAAAAGCGAGATAACATACACCCTGTATGTTATCTCGCTTATTATGTATAGCAAATACAGGGTGTCTCACGGTGTAGGCCCATTATAATTATTTCAGACACTACTTCGATTTGAATTTTGAAAATTTGGGATACTGGGTTTTCGGGCATGCCCTTCTCAACTAAAATAATGGAGTCCATGTACCACTTCCGGTTATACCGGAACTTGCTTATTTTAAATGCAACACCCTATATATTATTGCGATTTTGGATTCTGCGTTTTATTTTAGGTGGACTTTCATGAAGTTTCCTTATTCCTAAAATTAACCGTTTTCGAGATATTTAATTTAAAAAAAAATGGAGAGAAACAGTGACAAGCTATAAACCATGTGTATTTTATAGTAAGAAAGATAAAGCAACAATATTTGTAGGGGGGATAGCTAGACCTCTAAGCTTCCAAGTTTAGTTAACTTCAAACCTTCATAAGTCGGTTCTTTTAAATGAAACATCCTGTATGTCTTTCTATATTCTGACACAATTTTATTCTCTTTAGAACGGTATCAGGGTTCCCTATACCTATCTGTTCTAGTTTTTAAGTTATCTACTATTTTTTGTGTAATCACCTAAAATCATGTAATTTCTTACGTGAATAGCTATGGAATATTTTAGCAAAACATCAAAACAAACAATTAAATTGTCAATTTGTTGTTAGTCTCTTGCAGTGACAGTTTAATTTAGTGTTTATAAGAAATGGAAAACAATACATGTTCAAATGCCGATATTTTAAATTTATTATTCATTCACTGACGTTGGAATTGGATTATAAGCAGAACATGTACAGTTTTTAATGAGACATATCCAAATTTGCCACCAATGAGCAGAAAAGGTTAAGAAGAATTTTAGCAAATCAACTAGAGTATGGTAAGAATGGTAAGAATTTTACCTAAACCAATAACTTCAAATGAAGATAATGTAATAAATGTGCTAGCCTGTTTTATTGTTCATCCAGAATCCTCAACTCGTACCGCAGAGAATGATTTACATTTCAAGAGTATCCATTCACAGGATGCTAAGAACTAATGATATGCATCCATACAAATTTAAGCTACTTTCTGCTCTTCATCCGGGTGACGCCGTGCAACGTGTACAATTTTGTGAAACAATGTTAGTGCGATACCAAGAAGATCTACCATGTTTGCAACATATTATTTGGACAGACGAGTCAAAATTTACGAGAGAAGGTACTTTTAATAGACATAATACTCATTTGTGGTCATCTGAAAATCCTCATGTTATCCGGGAATGAACTTTCAAAATAAATTTAGCGTAAATGTTTTTTGTCCAATTAAAGATAACCAAATTTCTTACCATATCTACGAAGAAAATTTAAATGCCGACAGATATCTCAATATTTTGCAAACGGTTGTGGTAGATTTTCTAGATGATATACCTTTAGACCGACTAAAGAAGAGTTGGTATCAATTAGACGGGGCTCACTGTCACAATCAAATCGATCAACGCTGACTAAAATATTTGAAGGTAGATGGATGAGACGCCTAGGACCATGGAATTGGTCAGTGAGGTCTGCCGACCTCACTCCATTAGATTTTTATGTTTGGGGAGTAATAAAGCAAAACGTTTATTCAACACCCGTTGCTTCAAAAGAGGATTTGATTGCTCGAATACGAAGAGCGTTCCATGAATTGCCTGCAGCTGAAATAGCAAAAGCGGTGACTGATGGTGTTATCTCTAGAATCTACAAGTGCTTCGCTGTTAATGGGGGTCATATTGAACACTTATGACTTTTTAAGTAATTTTTTTTATGTTAGTGCATCATTATTATCAACATACATAATTAAAATTGTGTATTACTATGTATGAAATTGATTTTTTAGAATTCTTCTTAACTTTATTCTGCTCATTGGAGGAAAATTGGGATATGTATTAAAAACTATAAATGTTCAGCTTAGAATCCTATTGCAACGTCTGTGAATAAATAATAATAAATAACTGTTGACAGTTTAGCTGTTTATTTTGAAAATTTGCTAAAAATTCCACAGCTATCCACGCAAGAAATTACATGATTTTAGGTGATTACACAAAAATTTGTAGATAACTTAAAAACTAGAAGAGATAGGTATAGTGTTCAGTATTCGTCAAAATAATCATTTTAATATAATTAATTTTAGCCTTAGTTTAGTCCTATTGCATTCAAAATAACCCGCTGTTCTGTTCAGTTTTATTATTTTCTGTTCAAATTGCGCAACACCGACTTGCGCCTAACACAGTTACAGGAAGACATTTATTTATTTATTTATTTATCACATTTGGAATGCAAACAGGCTTGCTGCCCAAAACTGCATCCACTAATACAATTGTGAACATAGTGTAAACAAAACAAAAAAAAACTAACAGGAAATGGATACATCAGTGAAAAAATGTACAAAAATAAGTAAAAAGTTAATTAAAGGAACTGAATATTCCTAATAAATCTTTTGAAACTGCTGAGAGTAGTATTAAAAATATCAATATTAGAATCGACAAAGTACATATTATAATTAACAGTCATTCTATACAATGGACTATTTAGTCCGAGATTGGTATGTTGGGTTGGTGTGCTAAATAAATTAGTCGTCCTCGTATTTCTAGAAGGAACATGAAAATTCAGTAAAGAAATTAAATAGGGACAGTCTAATAAATTATTCAATAATTTAAATAAAATAATAAAATCAGTGTGAATCCTTTTTTGTTCCAAAGGGACGATATTAAATTGTTGTTTAGTAGCTGATATGTCATCAACATTATAAATACCGTTGACCCTGAGATTAAGGTAACGCACAAATCTGTTCTGAACTCTTTCCAGTCTCAATTTGTATATGTTATAATTCGGACTCCAAATTACACATGCAAAATTAAGTCTGCTATAAACATAGGCATAGTACAAAGATTTAAGAGACTTTTCGTCTCTAAATTCCCTGCACGTCCTGAAAATGAAACCCAACATTCCATTACATTTTCGACAAACATAATCAATATGGTGACCAAAACTCAACCTACTGTCAAATATAACGCCTAAATCTTTTATTTCTGAGACACGCCGAAGCTCCTCATTATTAATCTGGTAATTAAAGATGTAGGGACTAATATTTTTAGTGAATGTAATTGAATGGCACTTATTAATGTTTAAAAATAATTTAAACCTATTACAATATTGCTCAATCCGGTTGATGTCCTGCTGAATACCCTGGCAATCAATTAGAGATGAAACTGCGCGAAAAACTTTCAGATCGTCTGCATAGAGGAGAAACTTAGAGTATTTGATACATTCGGCTAAGTCGTTGATATAAATAAGAAATAAGACTGGTCCAAGATGGGAACCCTGAGGAACACCAGATGTAATGTGGACTGTATTGGAAAAATGACCATTTATTGCAACCATTTGAGATCTGTTATATATATAAGATGTAAACCAACGTAAAAGTTCACCGTGCACACCGATTCCCGCTAACTTAACAATTAATATATTATGATCAATTTTGTCAAAAGCTTTACTGAAATCGGTATACACGGCGTCAACCTGGATTCTCTTGTCCATGGAATTGCGAATATAATCACTATAGCTTAAGAGGTTAGTATCTATGGAACGCTTAGAAAAAAATCCATGTTGTTCAACAATTATAATATTTTTTAGAGATTCAAACAGAGCATCGTAAATTATGGATTCTAGTACTTTACTGAATATGGATAGTTTACTAATACCTCTATAATTCTTCACACAGTTTCTATCTCCGGTGTTCTTATAGATTGGAATGAGATATGCTTTTTTCCACATTGATGGAAATTCCCCTAATGTGAGAGACATATTAAATAAAATGGTTAATGGTACATATAGGGCTGTAGCACAATTTTTAATAAAGTAAGCAGGTATACCATCTGGACCGGCGCCTTTGTTGACATTGATTTTGTTAAGTTTATTAAATACATCCTGTTCAGTTAAATGAATTGAATTGATGTTGACGCTACCAGTATTTAGAAAAGATTTAAAAGGCACCTGATGATAAGGTTCATAAACACTTCGAAAATAGGTTGAAAAAAGGTCACACACACTGGGTCCCATAGCGGTACAATCATTATAATGCATCACATTGGGAATGCCATTGTTACGTTTAAAGTTAGACACAAAATGCCACAGCTTCTTTGGATTTGACCGAACATCCTCCTCACATAGAGTGAAGTATTCTCTTTAAGGTAAATTTTGAACGGGGCTAGCGACTTACCGCAGATTTTCCTGGGTCTTCTCTGTAGCAGACAGAATAATTACGTGTCCAGCTCCATTCAGCTGAAGTTATCAAAACTAATTATAAAAACACAATATTATTCATATAGGGAACCCTGATACCGTTCGAAAGAGAATAAAATTGTGTATCAGAATATAGAAAAACATACAGGGTGTTCCTTTAAAAAAAACGACTTATGAAGGTTTGAAGTTAACTAAACTCGGCATTAAATTTCTAGCAACCTGTATGCAATTAAGCCACTTTGAAAGTATGGATGGGAAGCTTAGGGGTC